AATGGTAACTGCTTTAGTGCGAGACTAGTGTTGTTTGTTGTAAGCAGGTCTCGTAATTCTTGATCCTCTTCTTGATTGTCTCTCAACCTCTCGAAATTTATTGCAGCCTGTTGTTTTACGCTCATTGTGGTCGATATAATTCATCTGCCACCTGATTATTCTGACCTTTGACATGTTGAATATCACTTGTGAACTGTAAAATAAAATCAAGGTGTCAGACGTCTCGAGGTAGGTATTTATCGGCTCTCGCTTCTAGTGTATTGGTCTATGGTTTGTTATCCGTAAAGACTATGAAGTCCCTGCCTCCTAACATGTGTCGGAAATGCCTAACGGTCAGGCAGACTGCAAGAATTTCTCGTCCGAAGGCAGAGTACTTTGACTCTGTTGGAGAGAGTCTTTTTGAGAAGAAAGCAATTGGCTTCCAGGCGTTTTTAGGCAGATGTTTAAGAGTAACACCTACTGCTTTGTGGAAGCATTCATAAACAAAGAAGTGGGGAAAAGGAGTTTAGGTAGATCAACGTAGATGCTTGAGCCAATTTGACTCTAAGATGTTTATTGGCCTCAACAACCTTAGAAGTCAGCTTGAATTCTTTTGGTTTTCCCCTAGTGAATCTGCCAAAGGTTGCATTGTTTGTGGACATTCGGGTATGAATCTGTTATAAAAGTTAATTAGACCTAGGAAATTTCTTAGTTGTGTTTATTATGTGCCCGAGAAATTCTAGAGTTTGAACATTGAAAACACACTTCGATGTATATTCATTCAATTTTCATCCAGCCGTTTTAGCACTCCTCTCACATGCTGTTCGTGTGGTTTTAAATCGGGACTCGCAATTAACAAATCGTCTATATACCTAGGACCTAGGACAGAACTTTGAGTTACTCCACCAAGTACTGGTCTCCAGGTAGAGAACTTGGGATTTATTCTTACTTTCTATCTGCGACCTACTAGGAAATCCTCACGCCATTATAAGAGAGGTCCGGCAATACCAAGATTTTTTAACATCAATAGAAGTCCATTTGTTGGCACCTTGTCAAACGACTCACTGAAGTTTATGTAGACAACATCCGCTTATTTGCCTTTGTCTAGCACCTTCACCCAATGCTCCCTTGCTATAAGGAGGTTTGTTGTGCAAGATAAACGTTTTCTGAAACCATGTTATTCGCTGTTTAACATGTTGTTGACTTCCACAAATGTCGTTATAGTCTTTCTGACTATTCTTTCCAATATTTTAACTACAACATTGGTGAGGCTGACAGGTCTGTAGTTCGATGAAAGTCGCCTTGGTCTTGTTTTATGTGTGGGAGTGACGATTGCATCCTTTCAGTCCATAGGTAACACACTTTGGTCAGGTGACATATAGAATATCACAGTCAGTGGAGCTGCAATATGTCTTAGGATTTTGGGATGTGGTTCATCCGGTCCTGTTGACTTTCGCTTGCCTACGGTGCTAAGAGACTTAAGTGATCATGGTGAGCAGATGGTTTGTTGACTTTGTATTAGGATCTAGTTCTTCATCTATGAGATGTTCCTGAGTGAAAATTGCTCCAAAATAGTTTGCCATAGCCCCTGCTTTTTTCTGATCGTCCTCTACACATTCTGGACTGTGATATACTGCAACTAATTCAATATCTCGCCGTCTACATTTCAGCCTGCAACACACCAGCTCACATTTCCCTGAATCATGTGCCACTGTTTCAACAGGTCGTATGGTTAAGGTACTTTGAGTGTAAAGGATAACCACGCCTCCCCTACGGTTCAATCTATCAGCCCTACTGGATAAAAAACAGTCACCAACCACTTCTGACGGTAACCATGTTTCTGAGACAGCAATCAGATCCGGTTTTTTTATATCCACCACTGTCTTGAGCTTCGCCATTTTATTTGGTAGGCTACGAGCATTTGTATAGCATACTTCTTCCGACCGTCTCTCAATACGATCAACCAGGCCGACATTCTCATGGACGTACATTCCGGATCTAATCAGTTTGCATGAGTTTCCGAATATCAGGTTTCTTTCTTCAGCCAAACTAAAGGTAACCTTCAAGAGACTGTTTTTCTGAGTATTTTCAGAATCCACCAATTGTCCTATTCTATAAAGCTTACAGATGCTAACTCCTGAAACTGTTTCTGGAAGTAGCTTGTATATTAAAAATTTAATGTGGCTGAGATTGTGTTCAAATCTAACTTTTGGTTCATTTTCGGAAGATTTTTCTCAATTTATGAAAAATGACTGACCTATCAGCGAGGTCCGTTTTAACAGTCTACAGAATTTTAATTTTTGAAATCTTCTCCTCCTTTCAATCCAATTCCGGTTTGGCCTCAAAAGAAGAGGTCAACTTTTTGGATGTGACTGTAGGCCAATCATTATCCTATATACCCCTCAGAGTATGCCCCACCATAGTCTGTTTTGCGTTGATATGGGAATCCGGAACTGAGACCGTAGATTCACATACCTTGGTACTACTCATAATTAGTTTATTCTCATCCTGCTTTTTCTTTTTCCTTGTGACAATGCCTACATCGGTATGCTTGATATCTATTTCCCTGATGGGGTCCACCAAACAACTGAACCAATGAGTCAGTGAACACCTCCCTTTGTAGTTAAGAAAAGGTACTACCAAGAAAATATGCATCTCGGTTCTATCACAAGTGATCGACAGCGGTTATGTAATAGACAGAAACAGATCAGTTGATGTTATTTATTGTAATCCCATTAGTTTTCCTTACGGGGTTCGATCTCGTCTCTTACACAAAACAGAATCTACAGGAATTCGGGCTAACAATCCAAGTTTTTGTGTTCATAAGAAATTTGCAACACCTTTATCTCTCTCATGGTCTTATTAAGAGATTTTATCTATTATTATTTTCCACATTCTTCGATTATTTTTCTTCATCCCTCCTGCCCTTTCCTTTTCTCAAATGTAAACCTCAATGTCCATTTACCTGAACATCCCTCATTGCATAATGTTATAACTTTTAATGAATGTTATTTCAGTGTCTATTTTCAAAGTCATCGACCTACTCCCTGTTATGAAACATTGATACAAGCCTTTATTATTTTTACCACAACTAGTACACCTGACATCACACTATCAATTTTTACTTTTTACTTTTTATGCTTATTTATGTTACCTATTCCACTGTTATCATTGTCTTATAAACTGTCTTGATCCGTTTAATGATTTCAGATCTGCATCTACATATTCATGTATATTCAAGTAAAGCCTGATGAAGATCTAATCGAAAACCATATTGTTCACTTATATATGTTGTTCAAAACTACAATATAGGAATTTTTTAAGTATTACATGTAAATCATGTTCCAAATTCGTAAAAGCACTTTTATTGTACAGATGGCTCATTGATAATTTCATAAGTAAGCAGAATAAAAAGTAATCGATCTCAGGCATTTTGTAAAGTGAAAGTACTAATAATGCCATGGGAGAAATGATTAGATTAGTTCAAAGTTCTTCGTTGCTATCCTGAAATAAGCGTTAGAATACTGTACAGTCAAGACTCGGTGAAAGTGGTCATAAGTAGCAGTAAGACACAGAAAAAATAGTTGGAAAACTGTTATGTAAAATCTGGTATGCCATGCTTCGATGAGGAATCTTAATCACTTAATTTTAAACTAGGTCAGTCACATAGATGAGCATCAGCATTTATAATATCTGTCCTTCGGAAACCAACGGTTATTTGTACTCCTCTATAAACACTTTGGTGCACAGTTAATTGTGATGCAACATCACCTACGGGATGGGCATGTCAGAATAACACAATAGTCTAATGGTCTTTGCGAGGCGTTCTGAATTATTAAGGGCCATTCTGCTATTCATATGGTTTTAAAATAAAGCTATCTATATCAAAAACTATACTTTGCGCGATGTTCCTGAATAAGGGAGTCATAACAGAAATGCTGTCAAGAAGTTCATGTACTGCCTTTTTGCCTGGTTGGTATATATTACTTTAAACTACCTTAAAGTAATTGTTAATTTTTTTTCACATCAAAGGCATTTATACAAAAATGACTCATGCTTTTAGTACGGACTCATTTTGATGTGAACTATCATGGTTTTTCACAGAAACAGGAAACCAAAGGCAAATATTTCGCAATAACGGCTTGAATAATAGAGGAGCGGAAGATTGTCTGAAACATTATTAGATATCGGAACCAAAATGAGGTATAGAGTGATCTTAACGGTAGAGGATGAGGATGGCATTTTAACCCATCTGGAACGAGTCACTGAGGTAAAATATGGAAATATGTCATAATGTTAGCCAGAAATGTTCTGAAATCACTTCTGTCTCAAAAAATAATCACTAATGAGACCATGCAACCATTTTTGGCCGAGACAGAATACTAAATAATCAAAAGTCATAAACGACTATGGTACCTTAGGGGCTCTCACTCTAATTGAATTGTTATTGGTTTAAAAAGACTATGGTTGGTAGAAGCACCTGTCAGTGAAACTTTGTTCTGCAGCAAAATATAGAAAGAACCATTAGCAACAGCATTTTAGAAAGGATATTTACGAGAATATCGATTCACTCTTTAGACTGGATCTAATTGGTTGAATGTATAGAAGAGCTCGCTTCAAGAGAATCTAGCCATCTTCAACAACATTAAACCATTCAGAATTCTACGGCTTAGGCTGTTATCAAACATATAAAATACGACCCCGATATATACGCATATATATATATAATTGCTATTTTATTTAGATTTATATATTAAATGCAACGACTAAAAGTCTTCTTTGTGTTTAGGGGTATATTTATAAATAATATTTGAAATATTGAGAAAAAATACTTAATATTCGAAATGGCTACTACATTTTTAAATAAAATACTGCGGAGATTGTCCAGTTTTAATTATTATTCATGTTTTCCTCAGTGTCCAAGTAAATATTGTATTCATGATGATGATAATGATGAATTACAGAAGCCAATTTACTTGCAGACATGCAGATATACAAATAAAAATATTTTACCAAAATCTCTAGTATTTTGTTTTCGGTATTCCAGCATTGACATCATTTTCAATCCCACATTCATTTTTGCCACGAACTATTTTAAAATAACCATTATCCCCCCAATCACTATTCCATGAATTAGCAATTAACCAGTAGGGTACATTATTCTCTTCACCCCAACCAAGTAAACGCACTGCATGTCCACCAAGTAGGGCTCCACTAACGTGTTGGTAAACACCTGATTTGTAATTTGGGAAATCGGCATACACTTCAAAATCTACTTCAACTGGTCCATTTTGCATTAGCTCTCGCATGATAGCTTCTGGATTTGAATGAACGCGATAGACTTTTTCACCTGTAAATGAAATGTTGATCAATGTACAGCGAGAACTGATTTCGTAAAATTAAATTACTTATGAACATACATTCACAATATTTTTTCGGCTGATCTTTTCCAAACCAAAGTTTGTTGAAATTGAAAAGAAATATATACGTATTTTCGGAAGAAGCTTTCCTGTCCACCATTTGTGTGAAAACCTTAAATCTCATGTATCACTGGCTGTGGAAAACTATCGATCCATTTGGTAACCCACTTAGTCACTTTACTTATAACTAAGTCATTATAAATCGTCTCCGACAATATGCATATCAGACAATTGAGGAACAAACTGTAATGTCAGTCAGTAAGTCGCAACGTAGAACCTTGTACGTATATCCACCGGTTCACATCACCATACCCCACTAGCACAGAGAGGTGAAATTTTGTGGTGTTCATATGAACTAGTGATTCTTTTGTACTCGATGTGCACCTGGTTTGGAGGTCCAAATACAATACGTTCGTTTGTGCCCACATAGTTCGACCTGAATTAAACTGCATTATCTCGTGGATTCCTAGTTCATAGAATAGTCTGAAGGCTTTTAATTATCGCAAATTGTCAGGTCGAATCCCGGAATAGTAGGAGTATTAACAGTTCGAGTGGTGATAGAAAACATCAGGTATCAAAGATACAATTCGAGAAAATATAAATCAGTGAAAGAAAAAAATTATCACTAAATCAGAAGTTCAGTATTTGGAGGAACACAAAAAATTAATGCAACTGTATCAATGTAAACAATTTTGAGCCATGTCATTCAGTCTTTAGCAACCGGTTATGATTATCACGCAGACCACAATAAGAGGACTTTTTATTGGCCTACGTTTAAGCTGCCTCCATTCAGTCATCGTATTCGGAGCCCGACCATCTATCGGTTCAGTAGACACCTCTGGAATCCACTAGTTCATCCTAACCCCTTTGTCTAAGTAATTGGTAGATGTCACTGCTGTTTCCACAGCTTTCTGGATGTCATGGAAAGATACCTAGGATTGGATATCACTTTAGTGGTTGAGTAACTACTTCACTAGGCGTTCCTAAAAAATATTTTTAACCTATTCACCATCAAGTTTCCGCGCTGCGACTTTTCTATATCTGGTAAGACGCAGACAAATTCACGCTGAAAGTAGAGTGTGATCCGAGTCTAGACGTGTGTTTCAGAATGAGCTACAGTGTTCTGTTGAGCGCCTACTACGATGGCTAACGACGATGTGATCAATTAAGGTCCATCGATGAGTCGGTTGTGAAGGTCGTTACGTCAGATGATATTTCCCCTTACGTTCAAAGTTGGTGTCTGTTAGAAACAGACGGTTGTCCGAGCATTATAGAGGTAAATGGTCGCAATTATCTATTCACTGAGACACAACGCTGTCATATTCATCTAATTGCCCTTCAGTTTGGTTCAGTCTTCCGACTTGAACGTTAAAATAAAACTCAAGTATTATTACATCAAAGCGTTTAGCTTTTAGGATAAGGTTTGATAGCTTGCTATAAAGTTCATTTTTAACCTCATTGTAGCTGCAATCAAGGGGAACGTAGGCAGAGATAACGAAAAATCAACGGCGTGTGTCCTAATATTTTCGAGTTTCTACTGTCTCCTTTAGTCGAACAGCGCACTTCCCACTGGGTACCAGTGTAATAGAGCCTGTTCTGCTTTAGAACTGAATACTTTACCTACACCAGCGAGGCCATAGGAAGTAGCGGTGGGGTCTCCAGATAATCGACAGGTAAATCGTGCAAGTTCTTTCCGCCGACAAGATGAGATCGAATGAGTGATTGTACTCAGGTCCCGTATGCCTGTTTCACGGACGCACAACACGTCGAAGGTGTGAGATTCTAGAGTCCTAACTAAAGAATCTTGTTGTCGTTTATAATACAAGGTTCGAAAATTAGAAGCTCTAACATGTAGTTTAGAGTGTGATTTCAGGAGACCACAGATAACATTTTGTGATAAAAATATACGAGAAGGGTTAGTTGTGGGGATGATAGATTTGTTAAAAGGTAAGGGAAGCATTCTGTCGTCAACATTAAGATACTGGTTGGTGATAGGTGTATGAAGGCAGTTGTCACTTTCCGGTTGTCATCACCATAGAAGGATATTATTCTTGAGTGACTTGAAAAAGAAGTTCAATCACAAGTGGCCTTAATAATCTGCAGACATACATTTTTTAACATATACAACTATATCAGATTGAAACTCCAGGAATAATGAATCACTTTTAGCTTTATATGTCTTTAGTGTTTAAATTATATCTTATTACCACTAAGATAATTCATAGACTATAGAAATCCCTAATTTAACGGAATCTAAAGAATGCTCAGAGCTAACAATATAAAAGTTATACTGAATGAGGTAAATTATTTCAAAATATCTATGCACACATTTCATAATAGTATAGTCATGTGATCTGACTCTAGAAGCGAGTTCTATCTGTGAGTTTAATAATAAGGTAACTAATGATTCATTATTGAAGTGACTATTATAATATATGACGTTTCAAAACCATAAATGCATCATGCATATGTACATATGTATACTGTGAATCAGTGTTTAAATCGTTCAACTTACCATACCATTTATCCTTCTCATATGATATATTATATCCTGGTTGGCAAGTTGTTTTACATGGAGGTGTTTCAACATCATCACCACATGAAGGTAATGGACCGACCACATGGTGTTCACACGGTGGAAATTCATAGGGCTGACAACCGTTTGTTGTATTATATAAATCACCTGTTACTATACCTTGGTTTTTCCAATATAACCATGCTGAATGTGGGAAACCACCATTACAACCCATTCCACAGGATGAACAACAAGATACTAGATTTTCTGCACTTAAAAATGGCTTATGCTTCCCTTTTGATTTTATACAAATACGATCAGACATAGCTTCAACTGCCCCAAATGCCTGTGAGATTGTTGTAATGCAGGAAAGATAATATATTAATGAAGTGGAAATTGGGTTGACTGTATTTAGTGCGTGTGGAAGGATTAAACGAAATGAAATTATTTTGTTGAGATTTAAAAGTGATAACTTCGTAGGGACAAGCAACAAAATTAGTGCGAACATTGATTGTCCTGTACCAAACAAAATATTGTTTACCACAATTAAAGATCGACAGGTACCCCTTATATGATATCCCAGACAAAGTGTATAAATTTACACATAATTACCCTTGCAATCGCGCTGGTCGAGCAGAAAGAAGAGTCTACATTTGGTTCCAAGAACATATTCCAAAAGAAAAACGAGTAAATCTTTCTGCACCATAACAATATTAAGCTAATTTCATAATGTAATTTTTAAAACATTTTCTCATATATTGACTATATTATTTCCAGTCGTTCTAAACTCATTACTCTACTTTTAAATGACTGATCAAAACTTATGTTATTCCTACTTATAAGCTACTTCGTAAAATTTACAAGTTTTTTATTTGGCTCTGTGATCTTTAGTTATTAGTCTGATGTTATAAAATAGTTTTACCCACATTTTATTTGTTTATAATTCTTCTCCAATCTTAATAATTCTATTGAAATCATTGCTCCACTATGATGATAACAATTCACTTCTAACCGACTTCACCCAGGGAATAAAATGAATTTATGCAATTCTACTTATATAACTGAACTTACGGTGTGAGTATGAAAAAAAGGCTAACTTGTTGAAATAAATTTTTATTCGTGAACTTAATGTAGACTTTATTTGCTAATAATTTTCTGTTATTAATCACGTATTCCATAAATTCATTTTATTTCTACAATTATTCTTATTAACTACAAATTTTTATTTAGGTCGACCTCAAATTTTGCTGTACACTATTTCTATGTTGCACTGAGTGTCGTTCATTAGATACACGAGTTACATATTGCCACATCTCGTTCTCTCTCAGTTCCCTGGTAAATGAACAGGTCTCTAATATATCTGTTACATACACATTTACAGCCTCTCAACATCAATTGGGTTAATCATAAGTCATCATCTTGAACAGTAATCCATATATTAAAGTTGTCAGTTCCTCGTTATTATTGTGGACTTATTTTTTAAACCTATTGGGCATGCAACTACTGATAATTTGGAGACGAATTACGAATAGTGTAAAAATATATATATCTCTCATATTATTAACTCAATTTTATACGTTTTTCTTAGAGTAACATCGCTAGACTTTAAATATTTTCCTTTTAGTCCGCTGAAACATTACGGGCTATGAGGATAGTCAATTGTATTTGTGGAAAATACGGCATACATTATTTCCCTTTGAAGTTGAAAAATAATTTTATTATCTGACATAACGACGGTTGTTTCTCCATCAAAACAATTTTAGTTAAAGTCGTAATACACTAGAAAATAAATAAGTGACATATGATAATATAAACGCTGTAAACTACTGAAAGGTATTTAACATTTTAACACTTACTACTTACCCAACAAGAACCACAAGATGACTGGTCACGTATTTCAGAGATAGAAGGACAATGTGGCCATTCTACCCTCGCATCAAAGCTCTTGGGTAATTCATCTGATGTGTAACCAGCACATAAAGTCTCTAGTTGTTCATTATTTGGATCTGGAAGTGTACCTAACATTCTACGAATATCAGATACTGTCCTAAATCTTGTAGTAGGAGCAGCTTTCCAAGTCGTATTGGCCTTAATATTTTATGACAGAAAGAAAAAAAGGAAGATGTTCAGATATATTATTGTAACTTATGATGGCCATTATTGAATTTAAAACTAATTCTCAATATCTTCAAACCAAATATTCCGTTTAGAGTTTTCTAACTTTCTTGTATACAAATGTCAAACATAAATTAACTTTGTTTGCTCAGGTGTGTGGGTGTGTGATCGATCCTCTAAAATAAAGTGACACGTGATGAAGTGATAATTGCTAAAGGAAACCAAATTACTGACATGGAAGTTCTTTCAAGTGATTGTAGAATACAGGGTTTTGTGGGTCATTAATCAACCAATAAAATTGAGACGTGACCATCTGGTTTAATTTTTGACTACTATATCGAAAACCCTAATGATGATCTTTATTATCAGTCGCTAGCGATGTAACGGAAACTTCGAATTGGTTTTCCACAATCCAGGTTCTCAAGGATGTGCAGCAAAAAATTAGTAGTATTAGTAACTAACATAACTGAACTTTTTTTCTTGATTCATTTAACAACGACATTTCCAATTAAGTGGTTGGAATAGTCTTATAATTATTTAGGCAACAAATTATCATTGAAAAGGAAATAAGTGATAGCCACTTAGGATGAGGGGAACAAATGATGACTACCTTTTGTTTAATTTGTTTGTCTATTTCAAGAGAATATTTATTAATTAGTTGTTATGAAATTTTTCTTTTTACGCAACCGTCATTGACTCAGTGATTGTTTCTGTACTCTTTAGTGTTTACAAACTACAAGTTAGATAACCTTAAATCTAGTATTGAGCTTTGTACAGCGGTCATGAATCTAATGATATTTATTGTCTGTAATGCGTTATGCTATATTTTACATAAATAATTAGGTGGGTTTTTTGAGTTTACGTAACAACAGATCATAGTGATTACTGAACAAGGTAACTATTGAAAATCATAAATTCCGGTGTCACATTTATCAGTCTTATGGGAGATTTCCTAATTGACTGAACATCGCGCGAAACGTGAATATTTTGTAAGGATATTTCATGTACTCACCCAAAAGTAGATTCATTCTGTCTCACCGTAATTATTTACAGGCAGGATATAAAGTACTATTAAGCAGATGAATTTTAAATATAAAATATGAAAACCATATTCATTTGTATCTTTCCGTTGACGTTGAGGACTGCAATCGGTCAGTCTCTTATTGACATATGTGCGTGTTGTGCGCATTGCCTTGATATAGCCTCAAGTCACAAGCATGCTAAGCAAAGACGGATAGTAGCTAGCAGTGGAATCCAGGACGTGGGTTTCGTGCCATTTGACGCTGGTCAGCTGGATATACCTCTATCCTAGTGTAGATGTTTACAACATGCACATATGCCAATAACATGCTGATCAGTTGTAGTCCTCGACTTCAATAGGAAGAATCAAATAAGTGATACAAATAAATTAAGCTTCACCCGATTGCATAAGCTAGTACCTCTGGACTCAGTAGCTAAATTTATAATGCAATGGCGTTTGAATCTAACGGTACTGGGTTCGAGTGTTCAAGTAAACATCAACTCAAGGATGCAGTCACATCCGACAGACTTACCACAAATAGGACCAAACTTTTAGCCTGAATTCCGCTGTTAGCCATCACCCATCTTTGTTGAAAACTAGGTTTCTTGGATTTTGATTTTGTCTAGCTGTAATATATATAACCAGCTATTGTTTTCAATCCACTAGTTTTTTGTTATTGCACTTGTTGTAAATTTTAGAGTTGGTTTCAGTAGCGTATGAGACTGCATTTACGTACCGTAAATAAATCCCAGACCAAGCTAAAGTAGTTATTTAGTATTTTCTGGTTTTTCAACTGATGCTAGTCTATCTTGAAAACAGCCTTTAGACTGAACGAATTTCTATAAACTACTCGATCATAAATAACTAATAGTTATCAGTCTTGTATAGGATTACACAGAAATATTAGCTTTCTGAATGATTAATGCATAAATAGAACAGTAATATCTGTTACTGAATTTCATGACTAATTTTAATTTCTGAAGGAAAGTAACTATGAGGCAAAATGTTTTAAGACTACTTAAATGTAAGTGATTATAATTTCAGTAAAATATGTTGAAAAATATATGAAGATAAAGATTGACATACCGGATCAAAAAGATCGTCTTATTTTTTCTATTAAGTATTTAAACAATCATATGTGGTCAAACATAACTTCAATGTAACAGTACCGTGTTAGTGTTGAGTTCCGAATCAAGATAAAATAATCACTCTATAGATTCTGATTTTAGAGAGAAGTATATCGGAAGAACAGAAATGTGACTATCAACCCGAATCACTAAGGAAATTTTGTAGGATATATTTTCTATAGGCTAAAACGTTACTGATAGTTTTATCATGCATTCATCTTATTTACTTCTCACTTGTTCATGAATAGACTTGAATCTCACATCTCTTGATAAAACGACGATTTGGAATTCATCATCTTGAATTTACCGAATTCAATGAGTTTTATAAATTAAAATATATCTAAAAAATATTCCCTGGCGTCCTTCAAAGATTAAACAGTGTTGTACATTTCAACTGCAAAATAATTCTTAAGTGGTGACTTATTTTTGTTTTAACACGATACGGATTTCACGTTTGAGATAATAAATATGCCAACCTGAAAAGATAACTACTATTCTACTATGAAGATGGTCGACGAATTTCGGTCGATGAACTCTTATAAACTAGACGACATTGGTTAGTCATTTCGTTATAGCTTCCCGGAACACAACATTGAACACATATGCCCTTATCAGAGATCAAACATAGACTCACAGGTCACTCCTTAAGTGAGAACGATTTTTAAATAGAACTAAGTTGAAGTTTAATAATTTATATCTATAACTTCAATCAATTATTGAATTTATTAGACGGTATCATCAGTAAGGAGTGTCACACTATCGACATGCTTGAATTCCATTTGCCATAGATTCTCAGAACTTCCACTTGAAGTTATTTATCATTAAACATATTATATAATGATAATAATAATTAATTTACATATAATATAACTTAATGTATATTTCATTTACCTCATAATTGATATAATGGATTAGTTCCAACGAGAGAGGTTGGTACATACGTTTATGTTGTTTAGCATCAATTTCATTGAAAGTATAACTTAGTAAAATTATTATGTAATATTGTAATAAGCAAAAATTGTACTGAATCATTATCATCATATAAATAAACAATCTAAATAGTTTAGAATATTTATATACTAAAATGTAAACTTTTTTCTCTATAAATTATTTATTCAATTATTATACTGACTATTTGTCCATACAATTGAACATACATACAAATATCCTGGTTCTTGTGTATCCATTCTCACAGCTTACAGATTACACTATAATATATAAACAATTAACTTTCCATTACATTATCGTAATTTGATTGATTTCTTTCGAATAATGTTACTAATCTGTATAATAACACTATAAATGACCTCCATGATTTAAATTTCGAGTAATAGTTAGTGTAATAGGCATACAATATACGATTTATGATTTTCTGCAGTGTTAATTAATTGATAACAGTTCTTAAATATCCAATGGGTGTGAAGTAATAAGATGTTCTTCAGTATAGGGTTGTGCAGGTTGTGGAGATGGAAACTCAACAATCTCCACAACCCTATACTGATAATTACGATGTACTTACTAGTGCGATAAGCCTAACATGGAAAGGCTGGGACGTAGCCGATCATTTGTAAATGACTCCAACTTATTGAAGATATGTTTTCCAACGCATAAAGAGGGTTTCAGCTTGCGTAAAGTCACGGCTTCGATAAAACTTGGTATGCGACCTTTAAGACTTCTGTATAACACTACATTGGCTGACGTTTTATTAACCATATGACAAGTCTCAACCAAATACTTATCAATGTATGGAGATACTTGTCCATCCTGTGATCTTATTTGACCATTGGAATTCATCTGTTTCAGCAGCTATTTAAGTATGTGTCCAACCACCTTTTATCGGAGATCACGATTAAATCTGTCTATGTATGTGTTTCCGCACATACATGTAAATTGATAGACGCAATAGAATGTGGCAATAGTTTACATGGTGTTTACGTTCCTAGTGAAACATAGATCTTGAGTTTTCGATAGTGATGAGTTGGGCTACGTAAAAGGTTTTACTGATATCCAGTTTACGCCTTTTTCAAGATAAGCCAATTTGTGTCATCTCTGAATGGTAGGGAAAACTATGATCGATTTTCGGGTGACGAAAATGTTGTAGGTCTCATGATCTTGCTGCCTTTTCGATGGTTTATAAACCTTAATGAGCAACCGTTATTTATCAATGTTTCAATTAGGGTCTGTACATCTCCCTCAATCGTATCGCTAGTGCAAGTACGACTGATCCTATTGAATAAGCCCCTTATAATTCCACGTTTGTACCAGATTGGACAGTGACCATGGAAACTAAGATACTGCTTTGTCCATATCAGCTTTCTATATACAGAACGTTTTGATGGAACCATTATCTTTCCTACTGATCAGTATGTCTATAAAAAGGACCCGGTTATTCCATATATACCATAAACACATCGGCCACCAATTATCATAAACAGCTACCCATAGCTATGCCATAGATCAGTCCAAAATGCTCTTTCTCAAAAGCGAATTTCACATTGTCAGTACATAGTAATAATAATAAATCTCTAAGAGATTTGACAGGCAACGTCAGTTGAAGACTGTTTAATGGGACGTAGTCACACAAAGCACTAATGGTCTTTCTAAGAGATACATTTGTACACAAAGCGTTTACTCAAAGGAAGATATTGTCTTGGTTTCCGTATTAGCATCCAATAAGTAACTAATTGATTCCAATGAATATTTCAAAGAATACTCACAAGGTTGGTATCGAATAGGGTTTGGTACTTTTTCAGCTATTTCCTAATGCTATGTGTAGGTGACAGACACATGGATAGAATTAGACGTAAGGGGATATTGCACTTATGAATTTTCGGTGGTGCATATAAATGAGAATACATCGGACCGATAGGTTTCAATAAATTAAACTTTTTTGTTCATAGCATCTACGTTAAGCAAGTTCCTTTCTAATTTACGTAATACATCACAGTCAACATTGGCCATAAATTTGCTTTCATGACTGACAGTGATTGTTATTTTATCAGTATTACTTCGCTATTCTTTTAATGCCTTGAAATGCTCAGAAGTTAATATGCTTGTTTACTTTAGTCCAGGGACACCAAACTAATGCGCTATGTCCACTTACTTACTTACCTACTTACTTACTTACGCCTGTTACTCCTAGTGGAGCATAGGCCGCCGGCCAGCATTCTCTAACCCACTCTGTCCTCCGCATTCTTTTCTAGTTCCATCCAATTCTTGTTCATCTTTCTTATGTCTATCTCCATTTCTTGGCGTAATGTGTTCTTTGGTCTTCCTCTTTTCCTTTGACCTTGAGGATTCCATGTGGGGGCTTGTCTTGTGATACAGTTGGATGGTTTCCTCATTGTGTGTCCTATCCACTTCCAGCGCTTCTTCCTGATTTCTTCCTCCACTGGGATCTGGTTTGTTCTCTCCCACAGTACGTTGTTGCTAATAGTTTCCGGCCAGTGGATCTGAAGTATTTTGCGTAGACAATTGTTAATAAACACCTGTATTTTCTGGATGATGGCTTTCGTAGTTCTCCAGGTTTCTGCCCCATACAGTAGAACTGTCTTGACATTTGTATTGAAAATCCCGACCTTGGTGTTGGTTGACAGTTGCTTTGAGTTCCAGATGTTCTTCAGTTGTAAATATGCTGCTCTTGCTTTGCCGATCCGCGCCTTCACATCTGCATCAGATCCACCCTGTTCATCAATGATGCTGCCCCAATACGTAAAGGTTTTTACATCTTCCAAATCTTCTCCGTCAATTGTGATTGGATTGGTGCATGCTGTGTTGTATCGGAGAATCCTGCTTTTCCCTTTGTGTATATTGAGACCTATTGCTGCTGAGGCTGCTGCCACACTGTTCGTCTTTTCCTCCATTTGTTGTTGCGTTTGGGATAGAAGGGCCAGATCATCTGTGAGGTCTAGATCATCCAACTGCCTCTTAGATGTCCATTGTATCCCGCGCTTCCCTTCAGATGTTGACGTCTTCATGATCCAGGCGATCACCAGGAGAAAGAGAAAGGGTGTGAGTTAGCAACCTTGCCTAACACCGGTCTTCACTTTGAACGACTTTGTCAACTGACCTCCATGCACAATTTTGAAGTGTTATCCATCATATGAGTTCTGTATGATATTGACTATCTTCTGAGGCACGCCGTAGTGTCGAAGAAGTTTCCATAGTGTTGTTCTGTCCACGCTATCAAATGCCTTTTCGTAGTCAATGAAGTTGATGTAGAGTGATGAACTCCATTCAATTGATTGTTCCACAATGATACGTAGAGTTGCGATTTGGTCTGTACACGATCTATCCTTACGGAATCCTGCGTGTTGGTCACGAAGTTGGACGTCTACGCAGTCCTTCATCCTGTTTAACAATGCCCTGTTGAAGACTTTTCCCGGTATTGAGAGAAGAGTGATGCCCCTGCAGTTATCACAGTTGCTGAGATCGCCTTCCTTCGGTATTTTTATCAGAACTTCTTTCCAGTCTGTTGGTGCTTGTTCCTCATTCCAAGTCTTGCTGAAGAGAATGTGGAGTATCCTTGTAGTTACCGGTACGTCTGCTTTCAGTGCCTCTGCTGGAATGTTGTCTGCTCCTGCTGCTTTGCCACTCTTGATTTACCTGATGGCCATGCTGATTTCTTCAATTGTTGGTGGGCCAACATTGATTGGGAGGTCCGTGGGTGCTGCTTCGATGTTGGGTGGGTTCAGTGGAGCTGGTCGATACAAGAGTTCTTTGAAGTGTTCTACCCACCTGTTTTGTTGCTCTTCAATGTTGGTGATTACCTTGCCTTCCTTGCTTTTCACTGGTCGTTCTGGTTTGCGGCGATTTCTAGAGAGTTTTTTGTCGTGTCATACAATTGTCTCATGTTTTCTTCTCTTACAGCCTTTTCCGCCGCCGGTGCTAAATCTTCCACATAATTACGTTTGTCGGTTCTGATGCTCCTCTTCACTTGTTTGTTAACTTCTGTGTATTCAGCTTGTGCCTTGGCTTTTTCTGCTCTTGTTCGACTGGTATTGATTGCTGCCTTCTTGTTCCTCCTTTCTTTAATCTTACCAAGTGTATCAACAGTGATCCATTCCTTGTGATGGTGCTTCTTGTGACCCAGAACCTCATGGCATATTGAAGTGATTGCCTCTTTGATCCCCTTCCAGTTGCTCTCTATAATAGTTCCTTCTCCATTGAGTAGATCATGAAAGGCTTGGAACTTATTGCTGAGGACTATTTTGAATTTGTTGAGTTTGTCAGTATCCCGAAGAAAGGTCGTATTGAACTTTTGTGATATTGTCCGCCCCGTTGTCCAGTGCTTCTTGAGTTTCAATTTCATCTTGGCAACCAGCAAGTGATGATCTGATGCTATATCAACTCCTCTCTTGGTTCGCACGTCCTCCATCGTCCTCCTGAACTTTTTGTTGATGCAGATGTGGTCGATTTGGTTTTGTGTAGTGTGATCCGGTGAAGTCCATGTGGTTTTGTGTATGCGTTTATGGGGGAATATGGTGCCGCCTATGACCAGTTTATTGAAGGCACATAGGTTTGCAAATCTCTCACCATTTTCGTTTCTTTCTCCCAGTCCGTGTCGTCCCATGATGTCTTCATATCCAGTGTTGTCCGTTCCAACCTTGGCGTTGAAATCTCCCATCAGAATGGTCAGGTCGTTTGTTGGGCACTTCTCGACGATTGACTGCAGCCTATTGTAGAATTGATCTTTAATGTCTTCATTGTGGTCGTTGGTAGGCGCATAGCATTGGATGATGTTCATTGAAATGCTCTCTTTCTTTGTTTTGAAGGAGGCTTTGATGATCCTTGGTCCATGAGATTCCCATCCTATAAGTGCATTTTGTGCTTGTTTGGGCAGCATCAATGCAACTCCTTGTGTATGTGGAGCATTTTCTTCTTCATTGCTGGAGTATAACAGAAACTCTCCTGAAGCTAGTCGTTGTTGTCCAACTTGCGTCCAATGTGTTTCACTTATCCCAAGCACCTCTAGGTTGTATCTCCTCATTTCTGCAGCAATTTGGAAGACTCTCCCAGTCTCCCACATTGTA